CCCCCCCCCAGGGCTGAGCCGCCGATTCGTGGGACAGCATCCGCCCCCCCGGACTGACCTGCCGATGATGCCACAACGACGCAGCTGCCCGCACATCACCCCAAGCCGCCGTCCGCGTCACGAGGGCATCACAATCCAGGTCTGTAATCCTTCTGCTGCAATTGGCCCGGTGCCGCCCTCAGCGAATCTGCCGCTCCAGGCAAACGCCTTGTTTGCCTCGCGGCAGATACGCACCTGCTCATAGCTGGGTTATAGTATATAGTCTTTGGATATACTATCTTGCAGATACACGGACACTCTATATAGAGTATATTGACACTGTTCAGTCTTGGTCAGTAAAGTACAACCCCGCAAAACATTTGTTTCATTTTGGATCCATTCTGATTTTTTTTTTGTTATTCAGAATTCGGATTTGTCTAGATTTTAGTTACATTGCCTGTAATGCAACCCCCAACAGCCAAAAAAGCCATCTGATTGGTCAAAGAAGAGTCACATGTCCCAATTTGTTTTGTTTTGAACAACATTTTAGTTAAACGAGCATTCGGATGCATTAGGACTCAGAAATTCGGATGTATCCAAATGTAATAATTTAACTAAACGTAAGAATATCCATTCAGAACGAAACAAAATCTACATGTGTAATATTCACCATTCACAGTCCAATGTTTGCTCTTCTTTCCATTATCATTAAGCATACACAATGATTTGTGGGACTATTGGGATGCTCTTCGAGGTATGTATGCAGGTGTCTGCTTTTTAATAGATGCTGTTAATTTAGCTTTTATAAGCCGAACTGAAGTCACAGAAAAAATTAAACAGGCAGACAGACATTGCTATTGATTTAGTCAAGGAGTATAGGCTTTTTACTTATTCTAAAAAGTGAATGATAGTAAATTAAGTTGACCTGTTCCAGTTAAATAACCAATCACATGCTAGGGAAACAGGATTTTTGATAGCACATAATTGGTTGACTAAAGTGAACACATCTCCATTCTTTTTAATAAGCTCTACCAACATTCACTTCGCAAAGTGAACATTACCTTTATATTTAGTAAATAAACCTCATTGTACTAGCAGCACCCATGTTTATAGTTTTACCTTAATTTCCCATCTACAGCAGTTGCCCAGGGTGTCTAAATATGTCTGTGCAGTTCAATAGGCATCAGAAAAGACCCACACCTCTTAGTAATTCCCACCACTGCTCTTAGTAATGCCCAGCACTGCTCTTAGTATTTCACACCACTGCTCGTAGTAATTCCCACCACTGCTCTTAGTAATTCACACCACTGCTCTTAGTAATTCACACCACTGCTCGTAGTAATTCACATTTGATCAGACACACACCCCTGTCTTTCTCTACAAGTCTGTGCGAGGACACTTGTGCTGAAGGGTGTGTAGCTGTTACTCAGCTCTGCCAGAACAGAACACTGTAGAGAAGGGCCGGAAGCAGCATTTTCGCTGAGAGTAAAAGGTATTTTGAGGCATTCCCAAGCAAAAAATCATAAAATATTGGGGTACAGGGCTATAAACAGATACAATGTTGTCAGTCTTTAATTGGGCTTTATGACTTACTTAACACAGTTAGCCGAGGGATGATAAGCCTACTAACAATATCAGACTGGTGTTGATTGTGATAAAACTTGTGTAATTGGTCATCATTTGTAACACCTCCTTTGAAGAGTGTGAGAAGGCATTGATGTTAGGAGAATTTATTGATAGCCATTTCTTTGCTCTAATCACTGAACCCCTCACCAAGAAACAACATCACTCTTAGGACATCTGAATAGTTATTTATTGAGAAGCCACAGTCCTTACACTTTTACAACTGTAGGCTCTTGTAAGGCAAAAGCAAGATGGATCCACTATTTTACACAGATAAAAAGCTTCTTGAGGGACCCTGTTGACATGCAGTTACTGGTCAAAATGCAATGTACATGGCAGATATAAAAACAATTGTGAAACACAAAATAATGTAAATTAAGGTTACAATCTACGGAAATAAGTATTGTATAGTCTTATAAACACAGTTTATAGTCTAAGTCTGTTATTAAAGTTTTTATCTTTTTTTGTGTTTTTTTACATACACTTTTATTAAAACCTAAACAAAATGTAACATTTAAAGTGAAGACATAAACATAAAACTGTTTTATATTTTTTTTTTCAACAGTAGCTTGTTCGTTTTTTTGGATGTCTCATATCTACGACAAGTAGAACAGTTGTAGTTTTTTTTTTTGGAATACTAATCCGCTGATATGTAACCTCTAGTTAACTAACAGGATGTTGAAGTAAAAGAGTATGGTTTAGAATTCAGGATGAGCTAAAACTCAGAAATTGAATGGATTGCCATAGTTAAACCTCGCTGGGTGTAGCCTCTTCTTTGAAAACATAGCGTTTAGAATTTGTTTTGTTTATGTTGAGCGGGTGGCATCCACGCGACAAAAATGACATAACTACACACTCATAGGCACAACAATTTTACCATCAACGTATATACATTACAGGAATGAAGCATTGGATATTTTTGCTGAGAACAGGGACATATTTAGCATGTTTCCTATATAGATCAATTAACAGTATTAAACAATGGCGCTCTATATTGCTCATGAACCTATAGATTTGAAGATAGGAAACTCATGAACCAAATGTAGTGCGTTAAGTTTTTTTAAATTACACAGCTAGAATGACAATCGTATTGGTAGAGTTTTTTATGGGCAGTTGGAGCGGACAGAAAATTCCCTAATGTGGCTAACAGACATGCACTGGGGACCAGGGGTGGCTACATCCCATTGAGCCTCTAATTCCATATATTTAATCGTCCTCTTCATCTTCTTCGTCACTGTCCTTCATCGTAATTCCTTGAAGTCCTCCTCCTTCGCTAACAGAGGCCGTTGCTTCCTCGACTGTTAACCGGTTCCTAATGGTATCGTAGGTCTTGCTATTTAATGTGGAGTCCAGGACACCTTGCAATCGGAAATCACGATATGCTTTCTAAAGAAGATACAAAAATAGATACAACAATAAATTCTGAGATAAAACAAAATAAAGAAATACCTTTATGTGACAAATATGTATTTGCACTATTATATTGCTTGACATGAGGATTATTGGGATGACTTACTGGATTATCTATTTCCTAGCTTGTTTTAAAGCACAATAAGAAGCTAATGATAAAGGCTGAGGCTAAATTAGGTGAAAATTAACTTGATACATTGATAGCACAGGAGATGTTTTAAAATTCTCTCTTCACACCAATTTCACTGTAACTGTAGACTTTTTTTTGCAGCTTTCCACATGGCACCACTATAACCTATTTACGTTCCCGATAGGCATAACTTATTAGTGACTTGTTTAATGAGGTGACAATTTTGAGACATTAACCCTTAAAATGCTGGAATCAAAAACTGCGTAGGCTGAGAATTGCAAAGATCTCAATCCATTAAAGGATGGAAAAAAGTTGTTGCATATGTGTGATTTTGTCAAGACCTTCATTGTAATCACATTTTTAGTACTCTTATTTTGTTGGCTATAGGCAGACCATTGTTTTGGACTGAAAAGATAAAGAGCGTAGTATTTGTTTTATTAGCAAATTATTTAAAACGCGCAACATTTGCTTGTAACTGCAAAACTGTGAAGTACAAATCATCTATATTTTATCTGCATTACCTAACAGGACCACTTCAATAAAAGATAATGAATACACTGGAAGATGGCACATTTATTACATAGATATTTATGGTCGTTGCTACACCATTTAATTAATTAACTTTTAATTAAGTGGTTGTTTCTCTGGCTTAAACCCTTGACTATATGGTCTAAAATGAGTGCTGGAAACATTGTATGACCCAGATTTATAAAGACTGTGTCCACTTCAAGAAGTCTATTAGGTTAGGTGTATTTGTAGTTAAAAAAATGATGTCAGTATGCGATAGTAGGTACCTACTCTAGATGCCCACATTTTGGTTCAGAATTTCTCCTAATCACACCAGGAACTTCAAAACCCTAAATACAATGGTATTTATATAGTAAGGTTGAAAAAAGACAAATGTCCATTGAGTTCAACCAAAAAGCAAAAAAGATAAATTAAAACCTGCATCCTCAGAACTCTAACACTGTAGTTGGTCCAAAGAAAGGCAAACAGTCCTTATAAAACATGATACAATTTGCTCCAGTAGGGATAACATTTCCTTCCTAATGTAATCAGATACTTACTGGCTACATTAGGGAATTGGCCAACTCCAACTGATAACATTTATTAATGCATTCTTGAACATTTGACCACCCATTACTCAGCTCTCTAAAAAAGAAGGTTGATTCCAATGGTCCCCAAAGTGCAGTCTACATTTCATAGACTGAAAGGACTATTTACTGCAGCATCTATGCTGAAGCACCCAGAACATGCTTTGATATATCCTGTAGGTTCCCTAGCCACATTAGCCAGTTCCCTAGCCACATTAGGGAACTGGCTAAAAAATGTACAACTAGGAACTTTGGTTGAGAACCCACCTCACAGCTGGTCAATGTAGCTGTCCATGCAAATGATGGACCAATAATAAGGCAGAAGGAGAAGGGTGGGGAAACATCCAGGCTTTAGACTACAGGAGCAGGGTGAAATTTGCATACCAGAATGGTCCAGCTGTCAGGAAAATCATGCAAAGCTCTATAGGCAGAATCAAGCTTGAGCACCTGCACATGCATGTGTACATGGTTCTGCACACAGAATTGTACATGTTTATGTGCACCTCTCATGGTGTGTGCACAGGTTTGAATGGACACTCAATGCTCACAGTGGAGTGGAACAGGTGTTGTAAGCTGAGCCCTACCAGGCCTGCAATCCTGCACTCTGTTACCAACCCAGCTTGCTCCTTGACCCGCCTGTTACTTCTGCTTCTCTGATCAACTGTTCCTGTACTGAACCTGGTGAGTTTTTGGATTTTGATTCATGCTGAACCATTTGGTAATTTGTTGTCTGCAAGTTACTGACTTGACCTGTTCCTGACTCTCCTGACTGTCTTTGCACGCTGATTTGGCACTGCACCTCCCATCTGTTACTGACTTTGGCTTGTGTGTTCACCTCATCTCACCAGTGAACTACATCTCCATGTCACTACTAATCCTTTAAATCCTATGCTCTAAACGTTTTTGTGACTCCAACATCACCAACTGAGACTCACACCACTTTATTGTCCCTACACTCCATGTCTCCCTACCCATGGTTGTTTAGACTGTAGCAGTAATGGAAGCTGCCCTTGTCATTTTGGGTTCCCTCTCCAGGTACATGACAGCACCTTTCAGTCAAATGGAGCCTGATGTGAGTGGCTAGCAAATCGTTGCATTGACACAAGCAGTGAAAGCACTTAAAGATGGATATTTACAACTCAAAGGTGAAATTCAAACCTTAGCCCAAACCATACCTATTCCCTGGCCTGAGCTCATTTTGAAACACGCGCTAAGGTACCCATCATGGTTGTAGCACCACCTGAACCATGCATGCATACTCCAGAAAAATTCAAAGGAGATTGAAGTAAGTTTAAAGCTTTCAAGAATTCATGTCAGCTCTACTTCATGTTGAAGCTCTGGACCTTCTTAGTGGAATCCATGAAAGTAGGCTTTGTGTCTCCTTGCTGTTGCGAGAGCCACAACCTTGGCCCACCATCACTGAGCAGAATGGCCTCCTCCTAAACACTGTTTCCTCTTTATTTGAATCAACCTTTGCTTCTACTGCACTGGAATGGAACACAGATCTGTTCTTCTGGTTATTCAGTCTTAGCCTGGTCTACTCATAATGTCCTTCCAGTCTTTCTGCAGTTTTTGGAAAGGACAATCCAAATCCAGGCTTTATTGACTCCAGTGCATGCAGCCGCTTTATGGACCATGACATTGCACAACAACATATATTTGCAAACCAAATTTCCAAGTCTTTCCATTAATTTGGCTGATGAGTCAAGCATCAAATCAGGGACTTTCACCTAGAAGACCAGTCCTCTAACCATTATAATTAATCTGGATACAGAGAATTACTTCTCATAGACATCATTATATGTCTCTTGTTAATGATATCTCAGGGTATGCCCTGGCTACAAACACACAATCCTCAGACTGACTGGATTAAGAGGGTTACGATCCAGTCTGCCTACTGCTTACAGAACTGACTTCCCTACCCTGCAAAGTCACCTGCACATCTCTGTTTTCAAAGCCCAGCAGTTGACCTACACAGACTCATTCCACAGCCTTATCATGATTTTCTATGTGTGTTTGACAAGCAGAAAGCAAATGTCCTTCCGACCCACATAAATCACAACTGTCTCACTTAACTGTTGCCAGGTGCAGAAATTCTATTTGGGGGATTTTTCCCTCTGTCAGAATTAAGAACCAATGCTAGAAGCCTGTAAGGAATGCATTGACGAGAGCCTCAAGAAAGGAATTTATCAATCTCTACACCTCTCTGGCTGGAGCCAGAATATTTTTAGCGGAAAAAAAAGCCATCACTCCCTGTGTCCAAGTGTAGATTTCACAGATTTCCACTGAATTACCATTAAGAATCATTGACCTTTTCATTTAGTCCCAGAACTATTCTAGAGACTTCACTCCACTATCATTATACTTACCCATGCCACTATCTTTACAAAACCGCATCTTCATGGAGTATACAATTTTGTTAGGATCCAGGAGGTTGATGGATGAAAAACAGCCTTTCGAACAAGCTTTGACCACTATATGCATCGAATTGTGCCCTTTGGTCTGTGCAATGCACCTACCACACCTCAGAATTTTGTCAATATTTTCCAGGACTTTTTGGCATCATCCTGGGACACATTATCACAGGGTACTAATATGCAAGAAAACGATGGACTGTTCTATCATGACGGAAAGGTATTTGAACTGCATAACGTTTGTTGTTGTAAGACTATGGAGTTAGCTCAGCCACTTTTCTGGTGGCCTAACTTAAGGGCTGATTGTAAAAACTATGCTAGTACATGTGTCAATTGCATCAGAAATAGGGGCACCAAAACTAAGGCCTGGGGCTGATTGTAGTCTCTTCCTAATCCTAAACCGGATTTTAATGGACTTTGTTGTTGAGATGCTCCCAACTGAAAATTGCACCTTCATTTTCGGTTGTGGTAAACCATCCTTCTAAAATGGCATATTTATACCAATGATGGGAATTCACCCAACAATGAAACACAGAAGTGTATTTGTAACCAAAATGGTTAAATTTCATGGAATTACAGGCCGCATTATCTCCAATCGTGTGTTACAGCGCACATCATGGTTTTGAAGAAAAAAATCCTGTTTTTGTTTAACTTTTCTTGCACATAATTGAATATTCTTTGCAAAATTAATTTTTTACTTGGCTTCATCTCATTCACTAAGTTAATTGAAAGATCCCTTTCCAAAGTGAACATATTCAGCTCCTTGAGTAAATTAACCCCAATGACTAAGTGGAGTTGTCCTTTTAAAGAGAATTGCCACAAAGCAATATACCTCTCAGGAACCTCTGACAAAGGCAGCTCTTAACCCATCCTAAAAAAAGTGAGAGTTAGCAAGCACTAAAACCTCAGGACTGAAGAACAGCCAATTGGAGATGGTTGCATCATCTGTTCAGTTTTATTCCTTATTCTGTTTAGAAGCTTTAAGAAACAATACCAAAACAAAGGCTTTGTGTTTTACCTGAAAGCTTGTGAGTAAAACTGAACTGAGGACACAACTGTCCCCAAAAGGCTTCTCTTTACTTCTAATGTTTAGGTGCTTGTTTATTCCTTTAGTCTGCATGTAGACATTGTAACACCCCTCAACTGAAAATACAGCTTATCACTGAGGTTTTCCCATTATTACCCTCTATCTATTTTTCTTTCCACAATTTAAAAGTTCAGCATTTTCTTCTAATTTTTTTGCTCTCTGAATCCCAGGTGGCATTCCATTTAGTTTTATTTCAAAAGAACCACTTTATCTTAAGCAGCCCAGAAGAATGTAAATCCAAGACGTTTAGA